ATGTGTTTGAGGCTGGGTGCAGGTACAATACTTCATCTTTTTATAGAAGAAAATCAAGAATTGGCATTAGAGGACTATTATAAATTCTCAGCAGTTTAGATTTTGGAAGTGCTTTTTGCTGCTGCTGTTCTGCTCTCTAAAGACTTGTGGCAATCAGTAGGGAAGTGTTGGCTTGTTTTCACACTGCAGTTCTTATACCTAATTTCTATGCAGCTGAAGTTCAGTGCAGTTGTACAAATGACTTGCTGCAAAAGAAAAAAAAGGGTTGGGGTCTGATTTTATAGAAGCTAGTATTCACTTATGAAACAAGAACAAAACTGAAAGTTCAGGACACTTTGAGGTTTTATTTTGCACTGTTTGAATTTAAATGTGGTCCCTCTACCATTAAAGTTGACAAAATGCTCATTTCAATGTGCCGTGCACACTGTGTAAGCATTGTAAACAGGACTGTCAAGTTGGTTATGTACTAGTTTTCATCTAATTCGTGTCCTAAATTATCAGAAAACCTCTAAGCAGCCAGAGGAAGCTATAGTTAATTAAGCCACAGATGGTGAGGACTAATGTGGCATTGACCTTTGCGAGGACTGCAAAATCTACTTAGTCTTTCTCTGGAAAACACTAGCTGAAATGAGTTCCTACTGATAGCATGTCCTTGATGCATGAAGCCAAATGCAGAGGCACCATGACCAAGGAAGGTTTCCCAAATAAAGGTTTGCAGGTTCCTAACGTGTGATGTGTGTTGAGATGTAGTCCTCAGGGCTCTGATTTCAGCCTTTTCAATGGCAAAAGCCACTGTTTTTCTAGGGCTGGCTTACCTGGAATGCATATTGTCAGTTCTTCTCTTCTTCACTGACAGTGGAGAGCTGACAGCTGACTGAGTGTGTGCACTGTCCCGTAAGCAGCGTGCAGGCTCTGTGACTGGGGGTGGGGGCAGCTACTGGAATCCACTTCTTTGTTCCTCTTTGCTCCAGGGTTTCATCTCTCCATGAACTCATTTCTACCTCCCAAGCTTCTAAATAATGACTTGGAAGAGTATTTTGAAATGCTGAGGAAATTGTTGCTGCAGAAGTTGAGGTCTTGTGGAGGAGGTAGCTGTGGAAATGTCTAGGCCTTCCTAGCACAGTCATGCCTGGCTGCCCAAAATGCAAAAGGAACCTCTGGTTATTTGAGCCTTTCAGAGCACTTTGTATGGTCTTTGGGCAATGGGCAGGTTCAGCACATCTGGGGATGGCTCTCAGTATTTTGGACAGGATTTTTTTGTGGTTGCAGAGCAAGAAGGAGGATTCTCATTGGGATTTTGACTTGTTTTTATGTGGGTACTATCTTGAAATTCCTGTTTGATCTCAAAGGAATTTTGATGCATGGCAAGTGATCTAAGCACTGGTTCACCTGTGACTCTGAATGATAAATTATTTTTAGTTATTTTATTGTGTCTGAATAAACTCTTTGAAAATGCTTCTCTGAACAAAAATTTCTCCTTCCTGGTTAGACCAGTGTGATATCTTAACCTGATGGTATGGCCTATGGTTTCAGCCTGCTTGTGTTGTTTTGCACAAGGATAAAGAACAGATCAAGTCAGAAAAGCACACCATCTTTTTTGATACTTGGGGGAAAATTTCATTCTCTGTTCTTCTCAGGACTTCCCCTGAGTCGAACACATCCCCAGCAGGTGAGAATGATCACCTAGAGAGATGTGCCAGCTGACCCAGTTCTTTGGATAATTAAGCATAAAGTCCAGTCCACTGGAAGTGAATTCTTCTTTTGATCTAGAAAGAAAGAATAATATCATCAAAGATGTGAAAAACTAGTCACAGATTGGCAAGCTTCTGATAGTCACATTGCCTCATGTGACTTTTCCAGAAGGGCAGGAGGGGTTATCTCAACCATATTTTTCTAGCCTTTAGGTCTTTTGTCTCCTTCCCAGAGTTGCATCTAGTCATTTGTGGAACCAGAGGCACTGCCACTTGAAGTACATCAAGAGCTTCCTCCAGTAGACTTGAAGGAGAATATAACAGTCCCCTTTATTTGATTTGCATCCTGATTTGCATAAGGATTTCAAACCAGTATTAACATCCTTCTGGAGGAGATATTCCAGGACTTGTGGAAAAACTAGTTTAGGAGAGGGTACCATAACTTCTGTTTGTAAAACTACTTTCAAATGAGAAGTCTGGAGGAAAATCCTGCAGGGCATTTAAATCTTCTGGAGGTTAGTCTGTCAATCGTGCTGCATTAGCTAAGAGGAGGGAAACTGAGGGTTACAATTGCCAAGGTTCAGATCTGTATAGACAGTAATTGTTCCTTGAGCAATATAAACACAGGGTAAGGAAAAGAACTGGGAACTGCAGAGTCACCTGCTTGTCTTCAGTGTTAAACTGGGGAAGAGACTGCAAGTCATCAGCCTTGCCTGTTGTCCTCTCCCTCCTTTTGCCAGAGTTTGTGATGGCTGCTGAGACTGTGTGGTTAAGGCCACTGCTTCACAGTTTTAACATATTATGCAGTTCAATTCCTGGGTTTTAGATATTCAGATTTAAGACTGCAGATGGAAAAAGGTAAGTCATGGCGCACACATGTTTTCATAGATACATGTACACAAAATAACAGAATTCTTGAAATTACAGAAACTTGCTCTGTTAGTATTGCCCCCCTACCCTGTGATTGATGTGTTAAATGTGTATTGTGTGTATATTTAGAAACTCTAGGCTCTGATATCATCCACATAATCCCAGTCACACCTGCATGCAGTTTGTGTAATGGGTCTTTGACCTAACTTGTGCCTTTTGTAGCTCATCTTTGAGCTCATCTTTCTCCAAGGGTGAGGAGATAAATACAAAATGGACTTTGCTGGCTCCTTTTCTATCTGTTCCCAGGGAGCACTCTCAGGCAAGCATGCTGATGTCATGCATCTGACCAGGAGGTGGAGGTTCAAATGTACTACATGTAGGATGGACTGTATCTTCAGTGTCAAGTTCAAAGAAGGCCAAGATGCTTAGGGAGGATGTGAAATCCTAAGAAAAAAAGCACCAGTGTGTATTGCCTTCAGGAAGCAAATCGGAAGTGGCTTAAGATGACATAGAGACTCAAAAAATTTGTGTAAAGAACTAATGAAAATAGTATAATGTTAAGAGTAGCAGGTTTGATTTCATGGTACTTAATCAATGTGTATAATCTCCAAATGAGGATACAAATTTTCTTAGATGTGACTGAAGTGATTACTCGGAATGTCCAAGAGCTGCACATGAGCTGCATTTGTAGGTCAGCCAAACTCAGAATTGCTCTCCTCAGTCTATTGCTTAGATCCAGTGCATGTGATCTGAGTGGGGAAATTTTTGGTGCGCAAGTCTCTTGCAGCTGCTGTCAAAGACAGTGCATGGGAAGGAGGACATGATTGATGATCACACAGCTCCAGTTCCAGGATCTGCTGTTCCCCTGGCAAATAATTCCCTTTTCCCAGTGGTGATGTTTTTTCTGTGTGTGGGATCATTGCTCAAATGGATTTGCACATGTAGGCAGAATAGCCAATGCTCTTTTTCAAACTGCTTTGGGAGAGGCCATCCTTGAATAAATTTTAGTTATGACCCTCTTGTGCCTCTGGTAATGCTAACAGCATACTTATCTGGTTGGTATTTTGAACCTTGTGGTAGAGGTCCTGTTGATCTTCCTTCCCTTTCACTTTGTTCCAATTTACATGTATTAAAATGCTCATCTTGACCATTTCTTCAGTCCAAGGCTATGTCCATTGTAGAAGCATAGGGATAGAGAGCAGTAATTTTCTCTAATAACCAAAGCATTGATGCATTCTCCATGGTGGAGCACAGCAAATCTCCAAGTGTCAGGAAGTGAATTTTGAATTGGAAATAGATATCCTGTGATCAGTGCGTTAGCAGGAATAATCTCATCCAGATGAATAGAGGGAAATTGCTTGTGTCACTGGAGGGCCTGGCAGCAATGCACCATTCACTGGGTGTTACTTGTATCTTTGTGTTCTGTGGCTGGAGCTCTTCATAATAAATTGTGAAACATCAAGGAACTTGCTGGAGATCAAGGAAAGAAATTGCTTTATCTCAGCTGCAGTACTGATAAAACATTCTGCATTTTGTATGTGGAGAATTGCACTCATTATTTTAGCTGTCTGAAGTTCTCTTGCTATAAATGAATGTTGCTGCTGCTCATGGGTTTCCAAGGCCATCTTCAGCCCGAGGAGCCACCAGGCTTTTTTTCTCTGCCACAGCCTCAAAGACAGAAAGAGCAAGTTTGCTCTGAAATAGAGAAATAGGTGTTCTAGGAGGCCAGAGATGAATGGTTATTCTTAAGCCATGCTTGCAAGGGTATGAACCAGATTCTGTGCCCAATTTTTTTTCTGTTAGAAGGAGCCACTGAATATATCTTCATTTCCCAGATGATATCCTACCAAATACTGGAAAATAATATTTTCCAGGAGAACTGATTGTAATAAAAATTAAAACATGTCTTATCTGGAACTACCTAATTAACCAAGGCCAACATACTTGAAATCAGCAATGGTGTTTATCTCAAAATGCTTGTTTCTCCTAAAATATTGCTTATGTGTTACATTTGTAGGTTTGATATCTGTGTTTATGCTCAACATGTCCATATTATTACATTTTACAGATATGGAAACCAGATTTTTTTAAAAACAAAATTTAGTAATTATTTAAACAATTCTTTGTGCATACCTGTGAGCACCTAAGTCTTTAGAGGGCATTTTTAGCTTGTAGTAAGACAGTACGAAAGTGTGATCCTATTAATAGCTTACAAGTCTGGCCACATGTGGGATCTGACATACTGTGTTCCCATGAAATAACTTCTAGCACTATGTTATGCTTTTAAGTTTTCTCTAAAAATAGCACAGGGATTTGTAGGCAATCAGTAAAATTAGCATCTAACGACTTAATACTGTATTTTAAAATACATCTAGGAAAATAAACAAAAATGTTACAAGTAAACATAACATATGGTTCTTTTTTTAATCTCTACTTTAGGACGACGTAGACAGTCTAAACCCAGTTCTCAGGGATAACCCGCAGTTACATGAGGAGGTAAAAGCCTGGGTAAAGGAACAAAAGGTTCAGGAGATTTTTATGCAAGGTAATTATGTGGGAAATTGTGTTATTTATATTCTGTGTTAGCTAGTTTAAGGCCATTGCTTGTGTGGGACTCATCCCATAGCATTTGTGATATAATGGAGAATATATTTTTTAACTTGGAAGTTATTTCTTGGAAGTATTTGTTAATACAAGGAAACAAGACTGTAAGAAGCTGTTGGTGTTTGCTTCAGACTGTTCTTAACTTGTTTGATGTTTTAGTGATTACAGCAAAAGCTGAATATCATTAGTCTGAATGTAGATATTTTATGAAGTTTGTTGTGAAAATAAGTGTGTATGAATGGCCTCCACACACATTTTGGCATGTTTAAAACTGTTCTGTGCTCTGTTAGTGTTACTGTTACGTGTGATAACTTCTGAGATACCTGTCTGTGCTTGTAGTTCTTCACAGTTCTGTCACAGATGAAGAATACTTTGAGATTCCTCACCCCATGCTCTCACCCCCTGAGTGAAAAGTTGCTTTCAAATCAGTTACAATTTGTAACTCAGTTCTAATGCTGGGAGACTGCAGAAAAAGCTGTGTACAATAATATTTACAATGTGGATACAAGTTACAAGGAAACTAGTATGAATTTGAAGAAATTATATTGGTGCCATCTTGCTGATAGTAAAAATACTGGCTGCATTTGCAGTATATTTATTAAGTTTCAGGAAACTCTGCAGAGGAGTTCCTGTTACTAGGAGGCAGAAAGCAACCTCTGTGGGTCTGGGCTAAAATCCCCAGGAAAGAAGTGTGAGAACAAAAATGCTTAAGCAGTCATTTTGTAAATGAAGATTAGGAGGGAAGCTGTAAATAATGAGATATTTTAAGGATGGCTCTGAGGGTTCCTTGCTGTCTAGTCTCTTTGATAAAACCAAGATCAGAAGACAAAAAGAATATGGTAAGTATAATACTGAACTTAGAGTAAAAAAACTTGTGTTTTTCCTTCTGTGGAGTTTCTCATTTGACTAGACATGGTTCTTATGGGCCACAGAAAAAAGATGCTGAAAAAACGAACACGTGGAATTGTTGAGATAGTAAGTTGGCATGTTGGTGTTAGTCATTTTAGATTTTACTTTTGATATCATCAGATACAATACAAGTTAATAGTCTGTTGATGAAATTTGCAGACAAAACTGGATTGAGAGGTGATGCAAAATCAAATCAGGGTTATATGAAAAGGAAACTGAAATTGAGCTTGTTTATTGTATTTCATTAGAGGAATGACAGTAAGGCTATTGTAAAAGTCTCTGTGTACTTTGGTACAGAATCAGTAGCTGAGCAAAGGTCCAGCAGTATTGAAACAGCCATCTCAATGAGACTGCCAGCCCATCACCCACACAACTCTCCCATCATTCCATGATCTGTGTTTTTGTCTTCATAGATACAGGTTCTCACACAGAGGTTTCTGTGCTCAGAAGTGCACAAATGAGCAACAATATAGATGAGAAGGTGTAATATAGATGTAGTGATAGAGATAAGATGAATCTCATGCCAGTGTTGCTCTCTTCTGAGGAGAAGCTTTAGATCCACTTGCTCCCCTGCTGTGCTGTGTGACCTGAGGGGACACGTGCTCCTCCCTGGGGCCTCAGCCCCATGGTGGTGGTACTGCTGTCACATTCTGCCTGCCCAGAATCTGCTCCTGCTCATGCAGACCTTGCCTTGGCACCAGCCTTCCAGTGGCTTACAGACAGCCCTCTGACAGTGCTAGCTGCTGTCATTGGTCATGTTCTCTTCCTTCTCTCCTCCTCTCTTCTCTGGTTTGCTTCACCTCCTCCATTTTCTTGTTCCCTGCAATTTAAGCTACATTTTCGCCTCTGCTTTGTCTAGATGCATCTGTTAAGGTTATTACCACATTCTCGTACTTCATTCTCTACAATATTTTTAGTATCCAGCCTTTTCCTTGTTTTCTGTGATGCTGAAACTTTCATACCATAACTTAGTATTTTCTACTTTGACTTTTGCAGTTAAAACACAGTTTATCTGAAGAAAGAGGAGGGTCGGATAGAAGCATTAAAATCTGGTTCCAAATATTTGGAAAGGAGCATGCCAATTTGAGGAGGGAGAATTTTAGTCAAAACCAGTCCAATTATTTACAAGAATGAGACTAAAGAAAAAAATTGGCCCCTTTAACTTCTCCTTTGGGCAGCAGTCACAGCAGCATGCTTTGCAGTGGAGATTGTAGCTTTGGCAGGAAGGTAGTTTGTTCCTTGTTTAATAAAAAATGAAACTCCTCCCAAACTTGGCCAAGTTGAAAGCTTTTGGGACAAATAAAACTGGTTCAAGGAACATAGTGAAGTGTCTTTGATTTTTAACAATTAAAAGATTTGATTTCTTTCTTCCGATTAGTTTTTTTATCATTGCAATCTCAGGCTGCATGTGTAATAATCCTCCTGAAACACTGAGTGTGCTTCAGCTCTGAACATATTTTCTCATAGTACTGCACAGGCTGTTTCAACAATGTGTAGCTGGAGTGATTCAGCCAGGGACTGGAGACAAAGCCAGGCTTTTCCTGTAATGGCTGCTTGTGGCTGGGCTGGGCTGGGCTGGAGCTGAGCTGCTCTGTGTTGTGTGACTGCAGTTCAATCTTTCTCCTTCTTCCTGTCATCCCATCAGCATGTAAGGAAAAAACCCAACCCACTGCTTTTAAAGGTAGATAAACTCTCTTTTAAAAATAGATAGGGTAACAGCTGGAATAAAGGATGGACACAGATTAGAACAAGGAGTAAGAAGAAAGAAATGGGCACTGAGTCAATATAAGGGAGTATGGGAGAAGCTGGAAGCTGTTGGAGAAGGAAGGATGGAGCTTGTAAGCTGAGAAGACTGGGGGAAAGGACTTAGAAGTAGTGGCCTGGAGTCACAGTAATGCTAAAATGAGACAAGAAGCTGGGGGGATGCTGATTCTGCTTATGCAAGAGATTGAAAATCATTGTGCTGTTAGCAGTAGGATGCAGGAGAGGAGGAGATTGGATAGGAAAGTAGGAATAGCAGATTTGCACAGAGACACAGGCAGAATTTTACTGAGACTGTCTGAATAAGGCAGAGCTTTGGGACAGCCCTTACAAGTTCAAGATGTGAGAATGTGGATGGGTCAGGCAGTCAGAAGTGTGGGAGCTGAGCTGGAGGCGTTCTGCAGGGTCATATGGAGTAAGGGTTGGAGAGAAGCCATCAGGAAATGTGTCCCCATGGGAACCCTGTCTGGTCCAAGACCAGAAATGTGAGACGTAAATCTGTAGATTCTTCCTCCTTTTCTGCCCCCATGTACCTGTGATTGGCAGTGCCTGTGCTGGCACACTTGTGGCCCTTGTCTGTGCTGCTGGATACACGCTCCAGGCACCAGTTAAGGTAGCTCAGGGGGTTCAGGAGGTCTCAGTGTTCCAGTTGTGCCATGAATGATGTGGATGGGGGTAAGAAGGCTGCTGTGGTGTGGTGTTTCTCTTCCCAGCTGGTTTTAAAAATGATATAGTCACATGCAAAAAGTATTTCAAGAGACCACTTGGAAATTACTGAATAATTAATTACCCGCTTTGCACTTCTCTTGATCTGTCAGATATTGACATTAAAAACAGTCCTTGCAGTAGCACTGTCACATGCAGAGGGGATAACAGACCCAGTTGTGTGATCCTGGGTATTTTTTACTAGAGAAAGCTGTCACCTGTGAGGTCCCTGGCCTGTTTGCTGCAGATGTTTGAGCTTGCTTAATATACTGGGCAGGGCTTGGAAAAACTGAGCTTTAGGAAAGACAGGGAAATTCTGGCCCTTGCCTGTGTGGTTCAGCAACTGAGCAGTCTTAAATCATTTAAGTGAGGCTGTTTCTAGGTTGTCACTGACTGGTTTTTCCTCCCTTCCTGTTTGCCTGACCTGGGGTTTGATTGCAGAAGTAGCAAAGCCCACACAGTTGGAACTGAGCTTGGTGGCAGTGTTGCTTGGTTATACAAATGCCATATAAACACCAAGTGCAGTGAAACTTAAAGAGTTCCATTGATCAAGACATTGAATATGAATAAAACTTTAGAATCTTGATTTCTGGGTCTTGAAACAAACTGTAAAATAGGTAGTGTATCACAATAGCTCCCCACCCCCGTGGGCTTTTGGAGGTGAATTAGACTGAGCTTTGCAAAATGTGTGAGGTTTCTTTGGATTTGGTATGTCGGAAAACAGGAGCTGAAGTGTTCATAGTGTGTGTGTGTGCTTGAATGTTCTGTGTGGCCATAGCAGTCACGGGATCATTCCACTGCCTTTCTGCTTGCTGTAATAGAGAGAAACTCTGTGGTCACTTATGGGAAAGACTTGGCAGATGCAGAGCCTAACCACCAAGATGTAAATCTTTTAGCCAGCAAAGCAGCTGGGCATGTGACTAGCCTGTTAGATGGCTTCTGTATAACCTGCTGCTGCCACTTTCTAGCCTTTCAGATTACTTTTCTGTGGTTGCTGTTTGTAGGCAGGAATTTTCCCATCATGTGTCATCATGGTTGCAAAAAGATTTAGTTAGATAAGAAAATTGTATGTTGAAAATGTTAGCAAAATTAACCTTAAAGCATACTTATATGGATCATTTGCATTTCAAAATGTCTTCCTGAATCTGTGGTTAGCTGTCCATGCCATGTGCACTATATATTTGCTGTGAAGCTTAAAAAAAAGTAGGAAAATTCATGTATGCCTTTTTTTGTCTTTTCTTTTTTTTCCTGCATTCCTCAATGGCTTTTTTATTTCTTCCCCTTCCAAAGGTCCGTACTCCTTAAATGGTTATAGGGTGAGAGTGTACAGACAGGATTCTGCCACCCAGTGGTTCACTGGCATCATCACTCACCATGATCTCTTCACCCGCACTATGGTGGTTATGAATGACCAGGTGAGTTGATGGATGATACTCACAAAGAAAGCTGCCAGTCAGCTGTGCCTTGGGAGGTTCTAATGTTTGTTGGGAGCGCTCAGAATCACACCAAGCTGGTTCAATTCCAGCAGGCTGAGGGTATCACTGCACTGAAACTGCAGCACAACTGCATTGGGCTGTCAGTTAAATCCTCCTGCAGCTGAGTATTTGTGCAGTGATGTGATTAATACCAGTCCTACAGTTTGTTCTGCTGCTGCTCTTTGACTATTGAAGTCTTTGAAGTAAAGCAATCCAGTATGAGGAACTGGTCTTCCCTGTCTGCTCTCTTGTGAACTTCTTTTCCCAAGAATGAAATCTTTCAGCACTGCAGTAATGGTAACCTTTTCCAAGCAATTGAAATAGTCACTTGCTGCAATTTATTGAATTAAGCATTTACTGCAGCCCCAATTTATATTTGCCGTGGTAGGTTTTAGTTTTATTATGGAATTTGATGTTGCAAAAGGAGTTAATACCGGTATTTTTAATGGCAGTAATGAATTCTATTTCAGGAGAGTAGGGCGATGACTCAACAGTAATAGAGTGAATGACCCATCTGCCTTGAAATGACTGACAAAACCATGTGTGACAATAAAAATTTAACACTAGTCTATTACTCAGATATGTTCTTTCCCCTAATTTGCTCAAATTAGTATTCCCCAAATGTTACTTTTTTCACTTTGTGCTATGTCCTTTGAAGATATGGTTCGCGTTTCCTACTTTATGAAGTATACCTCACTAATAATGTTCAACAATTCTAGAGTTGTTCTTTCCAGTCATTTTGGTCCTGGTAGCAGTTTTACTTCTGTTGAAAGCAGTACTGTAATGTGCTTCTGCAGTATAATTTATAGTATATAAATTTTATAAAATATTTGTATATTGTAATTACTGCTTAGGGGTTATTCTATGAATAGCTTGTTAAAGCTCAAATTTGCAGGTTAGTGAAGGGGAAGGAATGGGTGGTGGGATACTTGTAGCTTTTTTTAAAAAAATTACTTTTACAATGGCACGTAAAGACACATTTGCTTGGTTTGACACTGTTCCCAGCATTTGTTGTGTCATATGTCAGTTCTGCTTGTCAGGATTAAGTAGGCTTTTCTCTGATTAGTCTTTAGCACACAAAGTAGACTGGTGAACACTGGTACAGAAAATACAGATTAGGCATTGTCTGAACATCTGTGGATTGTTATTTTCTCTCTTCTCTTTTTCTTTTCTTTTTTTTTGCATAAACCAGGTGTTAGAACCTCAGAATGTTGATCCTTCTATGGTTCAGATGACCTTTCTAGATGATGTTGTTCACTCTTTGTTGAAAGGTGAAAATATTGGAATCACTTCACGCCGACGGTCTCGTTCCAACCAGAACAGCAACACAGTTCACGTAGATACATTTATCTTCTTACCTAAATATTTTCATATATTGCAAATGTTAAAAATACATGTTTAAAGACACTAATTAACATTGCATTTAAGTCAATTAATAACAAATTATTTTTAGGGTCATTATACACGTGCACAAGCAAATAGTCCCAGACCAGCAATGAACTCCCAAGCTGCAGCACCAAGACAGAATTCTCACCAGCAACAGAGGAATACTCGGCCAAATAAGAGGAAAGGCTCTGATAGCAGCATGCCTGATGAGGAGAAGATGAAAGATGAAAGATATGATTATATAGGTCGAGGAGGTAAAAGTGATTAATGGAAAAGGGTGGGAGAGCTTCCCAAAACTGTATTAGACTGAAAATCTGATACATGTGTTTCTATCTTTTGCAGAAAACCCCAAAACCAAAAATAAACACTTTCTTAGTAAAAGAAGAAAACCTGAAGAAGATGAAAAAAAACTAAATGTGAAGAGACTGCGGACAGACAACATCTCAGATTATTCTGAGAGCAGTGACTCGGAGATTTCAAATAAAAGATTAACAGATTCATCCTCGGAGCAAAATTCAGAAAATGAGTTAAAAAGCAAGAACTCTTCAAAGATAAATGGAGAAGAAGGAAAACCCCAAACTACTGAGGGAGTAGAACAAACACTAACAGAAAGACAGTCTCCATGGGATGAGGTGCAGCAGGATAAAAACCACGAAGAGACAGAAAGACTGAAGTCATCGGTCTTGGATCATCAGGAAAAATCTTCACTCCAAGCAGCGGAGCAGCCAACACTTTATGAGCAGAATGCCAAGGATCCACCTGTTCCAGAGTGTAATGCAGAAAAACATCATACTGTGGAGTTAAAAAATGAGCAGTTTTTACCCAGGCCTCCTACTCCTAAGTGTGCTGTTGATGTTACTAATAAAAACAACTCTGAAAAGGAGAACCAGGATAATGCTGCAAGTACCTTTGGTTTGCAAACAGTTCAGAAAATAGAATCCCACAGCAGTGATTTAAAGCACCAATTTGCAAATGCAAATTTCCTTGAAGCAAGAAAACAGGAAGCCGATCAAAGTTGGGTTAGCAGTGTTGGTAAAACGGATTTGACACAACCTGGGGTTGTAAAAACATTACCAGTAAATGAACACTTAAATTCTGAAAAAGTGCAGTATGGCTCATTTATGTCTCCGTTAAACGTAGCTTCTCTAGCAGAAGAGAGTAAACTGCGTAAACAAAGTCCAGTCCCCGATTCTGTGAAGTCAAAATCTAGTGCTTCAGTTGATCATCCTAAAACAAAGTCACCTGATGTTAAGCCTAAATTCACCCAATCTTCTGATACTGTGAAGTCGAAGGTTAGTTCCCAAAACAGCCATGCTACTGGATTAACAAGGTCAGCCAATAAAACTGATCATGATTTGCCTAGGTCTAGTTTTCATCCGGTTCCAGCTAGAGTTAGTGCTCTAGAAGCTACTAAGAGTCCTCTTATCATTGACAAGAATGAACATTTCACAGTATACAGGGACCCCACTCTGATTGGACAAGAAACAGGAACTAATCACATTTCACCTTACTTGCATCAGCATAATTATCCTCTGCATTCCTCATCCCACCGAACCTGTTTAAATCCAAACGCACATCATCCTGCATTAACTGGTTCATCCCATCTGCTCGCTGGGTCTTCAGCTCAGGCTCCCTTGTCCGCTATTAACCCTCACCCCCTTAGCAGCGCATCCCACCATTCTGTTCATCACCCTCATCTACTTCCCGCAGTGCTGCCCGGAGTGCCTGCTGCCTCCCTGCTGGGTGCCCACCCGCGACTAGAGACTGCTCATGCTAGCAGCTTAAGCCATTTGGCATTAGCACACCAGCAGCAGCAACAGATGTTACAACACCAGTCTCCACATCTTCTCGGACAAGCTCATCCTTCTGCTTCCTATAATCAGCTAGGGCTTTATCCAATTATTTGGCAGTATCCAAATGGAACACATGCTTACTCAGGACTCGGTCTGCCCTCCTCCAAATGGGTCCACCCAGAAACTCCTGTTAACGCGGAGGCTTCCTTGAGAAGGGTAAGTTGAGATCCTTTATAATGGCGTATTTAGCTGGGCCTGGTGTCTCCCAGCAGTGATTTCCTAGCTACAGATGTGGTCGTTTGTGTCACACTGAGTAATGTTGTGATGGTGGAGTTTTTAAGTAGGACTGGAACTACAGCAGTTACCACTGTCTCATGGTGGATGTGTGTAGGGCGTTTTTCCAGACCTTGATTTCCTAAGAATTCTAAAGAAAGATGAAATGTTTGATTTTAAGTTATGACTAAGGGTGAGGTCAGCCAGCATGTTTGGGAACTCAGGTTCACAGGGTAAATATTTGCTGCCTGAAACTGTGTACCATTGTGTAAGTGAAATATTAGGAGAGGTGAGACAGTCGTCTTCATAGTGAAATTTCATGCCTGCTCACTGGTGAAAGACTAAGGAAGTAGTCCTTAATCCAGTGGGAAGTTTTGGAGAGAAATACTCTTGCATTTCTAAATGTTTCAGTCACACTGTACACCCATTTCTCTTGTCTTTACACCTATCTGTGTACCCTTTCTTGGAGTGTTATTTTCTCCCCTTCTGTTTCTTGTTGCCACACATCTCTGCCTCCCCATCTGCTTTCCACTCCTCTGTATTCAAGTCAGGGTGATTCCTCTGTCTGTCTGCTGAGTGTAACCAGTGCAGTCTCAGAAGAGGTGGTTTGTGTTTTTCAGCCTGGTGCCCAGTGTGGTGCTGGGGTTTGGCAGGCAGATGTGGCAATTACAGGAAAGGTTTTCTTAGCTCCTGAAGGCTTGGGGATATGGCATGCTCATTGCAGGGGCCTCAGAGGAATAGTGTAAGATGAAGCATGTGTAGTGCAGACAGAAACTTTGGAGAGCTTTACTGCCAGCTTTAATTAAACCACCACTGAGCATGTGCATACTGATCTTTAGAGGCTTTCAACTTGGCCTAATTTGGGCACATTTTCACAGGGACCACAAAAGGCATGTCACTGACAGTGGTCCTTCTGCCAAATTGTAAGCCTTTGTGTCAAAGCTTGGCCTTCTGAATGGTTAGAAAGATTTTTTTTTCGGTTTTTTTTCACCATGGGGAAGGCTGTCCCTCCCCAGATTCATTCTTAAAAAAAAGCCAAACCATTGTGGCTAAGTCTTTCCCAAAACAGTCAGTTTGAATTGGCCTTGTAATATGAAGTGAGTTTGATCTAAAATGTGATAAAATCAAATGTAGCAGTGAAGAAAAGCCTAAGAGAAAAAGATAGGTGGATTTATCTTTTCGTGTTGCTGCCTGCTCCACCCTATACAGAAGTCCATTTTAAAAGAACTTAAGATAGATGTTGTTTTCACTTTGGCTGCCTGAAGAATGCAGCCCTGCATACTGAGGCACGTAGCTTTTTAATTATGTTGATATGTGGCAATTGTCTTGTGGTGACTTGTCTTCTGGCTCTTGCACTGGAGGCCTTTTTTAAATAGATCTTAGAAACCCAGAATGGGCGTTTCCAAGGTCGGTTTGCATGGATGCCACAATCACAGAAAGGGATCTGTGTTGGAGCTGTAAGAGCAGCAGCAGCAGCCACCCTTGGCTCAGGGCTGAGCCTTGTCTCTGAGCTGAGGGAAGGGTGCCCCAATCCCACCTTTCCCTGCGCTCCTGGGGGGCTGTGGCAGCTCCCTTGTTTGGGCTGGGCACTAGATGGTGCAGGTGGAGTCAGGAAGCTGTTTGAGCAATGCTTGGTGCTCAGGCAGATGTTCCCCAGCTCCTCTAGGGAGAAGGTGACGGGCCTTCTTTGCATAATACTTTAATGCAGCTTACAGGCTGTTCGTGGGAACTCCCCACGGCGTGGGAACTCCTGGCCGAGGAAACGTGCGCTAAAACTGTCAGCACAAACCCAAGTGGCTGCTTTAAATATTCAAAAACACAGAAATCACAACTTCAAAGTCGTAGCACCTGCAGATCTATGCTGTGCTGTGTGCATGTGTCATGAGAGCTCTTGGCTCCCCTTCTGCTGCTGCAGTTCCCTGCTGGAGTTGCCAAGTCTGAGGAGAAGGATGGGGATGGACTGGTGAGGAGTGTAGGAAGGGGAAGGAGGTAGGGATGGACAAGCACCTGAGGCTTTGGGGTGTGCACAGAAGCTCTCTCTTGTCCCCAGTCCCTTCTTGGCTTGTGTCCAGCACTTGAGCCCCACTGAACAGGTGTCCTGCTTTTCCACTCTGCTCCGTGCACTTTCTTGTAAGCAGGTCTCCTAAGCAGAGGAGAGAGAGAGGGGGCAAGAGGAGAAAGAGGGCTGTTCCTGGTCTTTTCTGCAGGCTGTTAACACAAGTTTCAGTCAAGATAAGAAAATAGAAACTTAACAAAGTAGTAGATTAAAAAGTAGTTTCATAGGTTCAGATTTAGCGCTGTGTCTGAACAAGGAGGCCCACCTTTGGAGTGTTTAGGCACGCAGCATAAAATTGGGCTGTGTGTTTGCCGTGCTGCCCAGTATGGCAAGTGTGTACATTTATGATTTTAATAGCGTGATGAGGATGATCAAGCCATATAAAAATGCCTGACTAAATAAAGCTGATTAATTAGGATTATCATACTTAATCATTTGGTTGGGGCAGGAGAGGAACAATACAGGAAAGAGATACTTACATCCCTTTTACTGAGATTTGTCATAAGGCTGGGGATAAAATTGCTTTTAGAAATATCAAGCCATATTTGTATTTTTTAAGAAATACTTCATGCAATTCTTTGAAGAGGTAATGGTCTTTTTACTAGTGAATGTAAGTGTTGTCAGATTGTCATTGGTTTGTTAATTTTGATGAACTTGAGATGCTGTTCTGGAATTAACTGCTCATCCTGAGTACTGGGAAATGAAATGGTTCTAAGAATGCTTCTGAAATGTGTAACCTGTTTTGTATGCTGAAAGTCTAGAGGAAGTACAGTCCTATTTAGTTGGTCAAAAAAAGTGATTTAAAATGTTAAATTTTATTTACTGTCTATGCTTTGGTACTGAAATATATTAGTTTACTTTGATCATTGGTAGGACTTGGTAGAGTTACCCTTGTGGTCCCATGATTCTTTCAAAATCTGATTTTATTTTTGTTTTGGTTGATGTCAACAGAACACTCCCAGCCCCTGGTTACACCAGCCCACCCCAGTGACCTCAGCTGACAGCCTTGGTTTACGGAGTCACATTCCTGTGCGGCCGTCCAGCGCAGATCCCCTCCGGCCTCTCAAGCTGACCACGCATTCCAGCCCGCCTCTGTCCAAAAGCATGGCAGAGCATCGCAAAGAGTGAGTGTGCCCTTGCTCTCTGTGTGTGAGGGTGCATTTCTGCAAGTGATGCTGCCTTTCTGCTTCATTTTAGTTTATTCATAAATGTGGGCGCCTGTGGGGGACACAGGCTTGTCACTGTGTTGCCTTGGTGTGGTACTTGAGCTTGTGAGTCATTTGAAGACTTCTGAAAATTTTATGTGATATAGAGGAAAGTTTATTTTGTGTTAATAGATAACTTGGTTCAGGGCATGGGAAGAAAGGTCTTGCGTCTAGCACATGGTACTACATTGAGGCTAACCTGTGTTTGCTTAACCTTTCTTCAAACAGAGAACTGGAGAGGAAAGCTTTTGCTGAACCTTTGCGTTCTGTCACCACTGCGCCAGTGAAGAGTGAGCTGGAGCAGAGCAGAGCACAGACAGCAAAGGAGAGCCATATGCACAGACATTATGCAGATCCAATGTTGAACCAGCTGCCAAGGCCACCGCAGGAGTCTGGGGAGAGACTGAGCAAATACAAAGAAGAGCACAGGCGGATACTCCAAGAAAGTATTGAAGTTGCTCCTTTTACAGCTAAAATAAAGGCACTGGAGGGGGAGAGAGAGAACTACTCCAGGGTAACATCCTTATCTTCAAGTCCCAAAAGCCATTCAGCAAAATACGACAAAGATGCTGAACGCTCTGTGTCAGAACTGTACAAAATGAAACATTCAGTTCCACAGAATTTGCCACAGAGTAACTATTTCACTACCTTGTCTAACAGTGTAGTAAATGAACCACCAAGATCGTACCCATCTAAGGAAGCTTCAGGTGTATATGTTGATAAGCAAACTAATTGTCCTTCAACAGCAGCTAGTGCCCAGGCTCTCCCCTCCTACATTTCTTCCCTTTCAAAACCGCCACCTTTAATTAAGCACCAACCGGAAAGTGAAGGCTCTGCAGGCAAGATACCCGAGCAGCTTTCACAGTCGGTGCAGTCTCACTCTGTAAATTCTTTCAGAAGTGACAGCAGGAGCCCTACTCAGTTGTCAGTCTCATCTACAAATACACTCCGCAGTATGCCTGCCTTGCATAGGGCCCCTGTGTTTCACCCTCCTGTGCACCAGAACCTGGAGAAGAAGGAGAGCAGCTACAGCAGCCTTTCACCTCCAACTCTAACCCCTGTTCAGCCCGTTAATGCTGGTGGTGGCAAAATACAGGAGTTGCAGAAACCGCCAACTTTAGTACCTGAGCCCAAGGAAGGCCAAACTGTTTACAAAGGCACTTCTGAGCAGAATTTATCAGAAATGTGGAAGTCTAATAATGCCCCAAATAATGAAAAAGTGGATTGGCACACTGAAAGAATGAGTGGAAAGTCGCAGTCCGCTACAGCATCTGTTATTGTGCGTCCTCCTTCTAGCACAAAATATGAGAATGTACCAGTAATGCAGTCTGCTTCCAAAGATCGAGTTAGTGAGAGATCCTCAGCTGTGACAAATCCAGCAGATTGCCTGAAAACAGCGGAAGCCAGGGAGACTGGAAGAGTCATACTGCCAAATATGAACTCAGACAGCGCTCGCACACAGTATGAAAAGAAATTTGCAGCTGTCTCGCAGGGCAGCGTTCCTCGTGCTGTCACTCCTACCACAAGCATCATCTGCAGCACCAAGACGGATGTCCCTGCACCGGCAGCAGTGACCACCAGCGTGTCGAGCCGGGGCAGCTCTGCGGTGA